TTTCGTCTCGCGGACAGAATCAACATGAACTGAGCAAGCAGTGAGGTTCTATAAACAAAACTTTTTGTCGACAAAAGATAACAAGAAATTATCAAGGTATAAAATCTTTTTCCATTTTGACTAAGATATTAACATTACTATAGGGAGCACACAAACGAAAAGCGACAATTATAACCAATTTAGTTAAACAATATTTATCCCGTAAATACATGAGATGATAGCAAGAAAAATTGAACCAAAGTTAAGGTACAATTATTTTACCGTCATGAAAAAATAACTAAATCGTCTTTCATCTGTTTCCATTGTTCAAAACATTCCTAAATGCCCTTAACAATTACACATTTCAACGATATGGAAATTTGAAATGATTTCGTTACAATTACATTTTATTGTAGACTCGGTTGCATATATGATCGGACAAAACTGTTACGTTCGTCACTGATTACGCTTGAAGCGATTACGAATTCACTTTAGTCGACGATAAACGCGTGCATATAGGCTACCTTGAATCCCAAGCTGTAAAACAGAAGTCTTGATGTAACATAGAAAGTATATTCTACAAACACCCAGCAATCACAATCCAATCAAGCACACAACTCTCGTTTATTTATGCATCATAAAAACGTCCTTGGGACAGTTACGAAAATAGCACACTAAAATACACAGCAACCAATCACAGCCATGGATTTTCCTGGTGGGAAATGAAATCTCAAGGTCAACTGATCAGCCCATGCTGGCAAACGTGAAATCCAAAATTAAGGCATTTATCAAGAGTTCTGGAAATCTACCATCCCCAACAAAAACAAAAGTACAACACATGCTCAGTGTTTTCATAAAACCATGGGATATTGAAAGTTGTTCTCGTTTTAAATCCTCATCTCTCTGTAAACTTTGATAACCTTAATTGAAAAAAATTCGATTCACTTTAAATAAAAATCTTTTCTATGATTCGGTCATACAGACAGAGAGATACAACACAGAACTTCGTACGTGTAAGTACATTAGTTCAGGTTGCCATACCACACATCAACACAGAGACGCAATTGTCAGTTCAAATCCAACAGTGATAGCGATAGTAGAAGTATTAGCAGTAATGGAGAATATTAGGAAGCGAAGATTTGACTCGAGAAGTATAATTCAGTGAGATAGCTTTAGAAAGAGAAAGATAGAGATGATGAGGAATTAATTCAAAAGGTTAGAATAAGAGAGAACACAAAGAGTAGATGCACTTGTGCCATGTCATTCAAGGTCTCTTATAACTATCGGTGACTTTAGTCTCGCGGAACCCACCCAACCAGGTAACCTACATTTACCAACATAACTCAGTATGATATGGTCATAATGATAAAGATTCTTCAACACATTTTTTTAAGATTTACTGATGATATGGCATATTTATTAAAAGACTTAAGACAATGGCTTTTCAGTATGCAAAGCAATTGACAAGCATTGTACAATGGTTGTTAGCAAACAGTGAATAAAAAAATACAAGCAAGTAGAGCGAAAGCTGAAGAACTCACATTGAACGGATTACCACTTGTTATTTTGGTATCCAATAAAAATTGATCCTCATTGGATTGATGACTTGATTCGGATGATGATGATGATGATGATGATGTTGAAGAGAACGATAGATCTGAAAGTTTTTGAGATTTCATGAATTGATAAAAAAACGGTGAAAAAAAACAATAAATTAATTGGCATATGGATTTTGAAAAAAATGCCATCATAAAAGTAGAGGATACTGCTGAATTCTATGAAAATCACAAAACCGAGAACAATGAAACATGCTCATACACCATTATGGACTGATTGGAATTACACTTGTACACTGCTAAATCCTGGCATAGCTGCAACTGAAGGTCATACGTTCGGTTACCGCTTGTGGGTGAGCACTGTTGAGGAGTTTCAAACGAGGACAAGACAGAGACCTAATGTTTTCAGATTTTCAAAAATGGTCCAGCACTAATCGGTTCATGATTAGGGTAAAATTGTAAAAACGTTGAATTGCGATAACTAGTTACTGAAAAAAGAATGTCAGTATGCTTTAGTTATACGGATATCGAGAAAGACGTATGATTTTACCGTAAAGAAGATTCAGGTAACAGTGAGTACCATTCTACCCCAATTGTATTATGGGACAATCGGGTAAGCAATGCTATAGTTGGGAAACGGGTGATAGGTAAGGATGGCAGGCCAATAGATGAAGTAGTGAAACGTCAATGGTTGAGGTGGTTGGGATATGTGTTGTGTATGCCTAACCACCGACTGCCTCGTCGACCTACATTTTGTGGTGTTGGAATTGCTTGGACGAAAGCTAGGGGTGACTAGAACAAAACATGGCGGAAATCCATGAAGTCATTGACAAGTGGACTGAGTCATGTCGGTAGTTGTCGACTACCTGGTTGGGGTCCGCGAGATGACAGTAATCGATGGTTAGAGACATGGTTCAAAATCGTTCGCAATGGCGCAAGTGCATTCATTCTTTGTGTTCTCTCATATCCTACACTTTTTAATTCCTCATCACTTTACCTTTTTCTGCTAATACTGTTAATAATTTTACTACCTCTACTACTATGGGATTTGAAGTGACAATCGAGTCTGTGTGCTAATGTGGTATGGCAACTTGAACTGATGTACGTACGTACGAAGTCCTACGTTACGAATGATTGACTGATTGAGGTTGAATTATATATTTTTTCTGCATGAACGACGGAGTAGCTGTAAAAGTATCTACAGTTCTTTATATTGCATTCTTTACACTTTAACAAATGATATCTCTTGCACCCACAACTAATCGACTTCATGTATGTAATGCCTTTTAAGGCACAGATTATAATTCTCATATAAATATGAACACGTAAAATAAAAAAAACTTATATCACTAACCTGGATCAGATTCCATCAAATAAGAAGTAAGATTTTTGATTACTTTAACAGCAGCTTTAGAAGTATTTAGATGTAAATTGTTATTCGTCAACGATGATGTTGATGACGATGTTGAATGTTTACTACTTAGTAACATTTTCCATTCTAACCATAAAAGACGTGCTAAACAATAAGCAGCTAAACGTTGAAGATGTAGACATGTACCAATTGGTATATAATCTATGCATGTATTCACAGTCACTGCATTGCTATTAGTACTCTGACTACTACCACCAACTCCACTACAAATCGATGATGTAGTAGTTGTTGTTGTCGCTGTAACATTAGAATGAGTATTTAACGGGAAAATACCATCTTTGGTAGTAGTTGAAGTCAATGATGATCGGATGGGATGATCAGCAGTAGTAGATTGATTGACACATGGTTTATTAACACATCGTATAGTATCCATTAATGGACGTATAAGTAAACTTAAACGACCAGGTAATATCCAATTCATATTAGCTAATGCACAAGCTATGCCTAATTCAACACTGACAACAAGAAGAAGACCAAAAAAATGTTACCAACACCACCACATGTATGGGTGTATAAAAGTAAAACGTTAAAAAATTTAAACAAATGGTTTTTAAGAAGAAAAACAACCTACAGTTTTATTATATTGTACGGGGTAGTTAGGAAAATTTATTGTGAGATAATTCATCAAAAGTTCAAACCAACTTCAAGAGATTGGGAATAACGTTTTGAGGACTCGAATCGTTTGGAGAAGAGGTGTGGTGAAGACGCTGACAAAATGCAGTGTCTTCTGAATACTATCCTGAGTAACAATGCAAGCATGTTCCGGATGTGGTTTTCACCCTCGAAATAAAAAATGGTGCTTCGAGATTGGGTTTTCTTATCGGCACCTGAACTAGTGATAGGGAGTGAAGTGGTCGAACGTGTAGACCGCTTCACTTATGTCAGGAGTCTCATCACTGCTGATGGCCTGGTGACTGATGAAATCTCAGCACGGATGCAGAAGGCTCGATTGGCTTTTGCCAACCTGCATCAACTATGGCGCAGGCGAGATATCCATTTGATAACGAAAGTAAGGGTGTACTTTGCAGCAGTTCGCTCTGTCCTACTGTACGGATGCAAGACTTGTCCGTTAAGAGTAGAGTACTTCCGTAGGTTACTAGTATTCGATCATAGATGTCTTAAAAGCATTGCTGGTGTATCATGGGACATCTGAGTAAGAAATGCTGTTGTTAGGAAACGGGTGATGGATAAGGATGGCAGATCAACTGATGAATTAGTGAATCCTCATCAGCTGAGGTGGTTAGGACATGTGTTACGTATTCCTAACCACTGACTGCCTCAACGAGCTATGTTTTGTGGTGTAGGAGTAGGTTGGAAGAAAGCTAGGCGCAGCCAAACCAACACATGGCAGAAATCCATGAAGGCACTGACAAGTGAACTGAGTTATGTTGGTAGATGTAGGCTACTTGGTTAGGGTCCGCGAAACGAAAGTCACCAATGGTTAAAGATCTTGAATGACATGGCTCAAAATCGTTTTCAATGTCGCATGCGCATCTATTCTTTGTGTTCTCTCGAATACAATTGCAGGAAGTTGTTATGCTTGTCAATTGATATGCTTGATAGAAACTATTACCAGTTCACTTTAGTCGATACACGAGAACGAGACAATGAACCAGTGTGACATGATAGGCTACTTTGATCCGTTGCCCCAAACTAACTGATCTCAAGCACACAAATCGCACTTATTTATACATCATAGAAACGTCCTTGAGAGACATACAAAAATAGCGTACTCAAGTTACACATCAACCAATGACAGTTAAGGATTTTCTGAGGGTGGGAAATATAATCTCAAGGTCAAATGATCAGCCCATGAATAAAATCCAAAATCAAGACATGCATCAAGTGAGTTTTGGGGATCTAACATGCCCAACAGAAGTGATGGCAAGAATACATATGAACTGGTACATATACAACTTCGTTTCTTAAACACAATGGGAAAGAAGGTGGGGAAGGATAGAAACAGTACTTTACTGAAGTTATAACAAATATTATGGTGAAAATAAAAATAACTATGTACAACGATAACTAACCGATTTCCTAAATATAATTGTAGCGTAAGACAATGATCAACTGTGCTTCGAGTTCGTTCAAATTGACAATGCAATTGATCCAGTAAAGATGAATCTATAACACATGATTCTTTTTTATGTTGTGTATGAAGAATTAAGTTAGCCACTTTATGAAGTAATGTTTTACAATGAACTATGGTTAATACACCACTAAAAATAAAAAAAAAAATGAAAAGAGGCATGAATGAAAATTGAAAGCAAGGAAAAGGTATGACAAAAAAAAACATTTTTGGGCAGAGTTTTAGAGGTTTGTGTTTTTTTTTTACACATTTGAAATCATCAATCAATCATTGTTAGACAGAGTACCAGTAGAAGAAACCTGGAAGCACTGGACAGCCGTTTCGTCCTGGTATGGGGACTGATCAGTGGAAGTGCACATCTACGACTTCTGCTCCTCGCAGGATTCGAAACCGGGACCTTCGGTATTGTGCCCGAACGCCTAACCATCGGACCACTCGGCCGGCTGTTATCCAATGGTGTCAATGTCTAAGTCTGACTGATCTAGGGATTTTGCGAGACCTCACCCATTTGTCTTTGGTAGTTACTGCCTACACCCGAAAGGGTTGAACTCCATTGGTCACGTCTTCTCATTACTAGAACATTTACTAATTACCTGTACTTGAAGTGATAAGACTATATGGTGACTTTTGAGGTACATTTAAAAGGAACAACTTTTAAACACAGAAAGAACATATCAGTTGATGTAACAATGTAATAGATTATAGTGAGAGTAATTCCGCCAGTAGAACTTTCGGGGCTACTACCGGTCCCAAGCCTGAATGAGGGAGAAGGGTTAGGCATGGGGTTGGCGACCCCATCCCGTCAAAAACTAACTTGCCAAAAAATCGCTAACCAGTAAAAAAAAATAACGCTATAGTGAGAGTATACAATAGTTAGAGCTAAAATTAAGCATAATTAGAGTAGACAAGGATATTGAAGTTTTGCATAGACATGTTTATGAAGTTCTGCATTGTAACTGTCTGTCTGGTGGACGTAAGAAATTCTACGCTGTAGCTGACCAACGACAATTTCACACGGACTATATTAAATAAAACGTAAGTTTATAAACTGGACACTACCATAAGAGCCAACATGACAACATAGTCAATATTATGAAACGTTTAGGACATTTTGGGAAATGTTTCCCAATAATAACCGAGTGTTTTCAGTATTGCATAGGTTTTTAGAAAAATCCATAGCGATACAAAAACCTTGGTAGTATATACAGAGTTGATTGTGTTGTATTTAGTACCTAGTTATTTCATGGTCATCATTTGTACATATTCGTTCATATAAACAATTAAGTCATTCACCTTGATAATCACTGAAGAACGTGCGAATCCAGGAAACCATCAGGCAATGAACTAAGGACCTTCAAGTTATGCGAATGTTATTTTCAAACCACTGAGTTGGAAGTTAATTTACTGAAGGCATTAATAATAGCGTGTAACTTGATGACTAACTTGGAGATAGACTGATGAATTCCTAATTAATCATAACCGATGGAGTTCGACCATGTCAGTGAGATACATTACTTATGACAATCCATGATGGTCACACTATATCGTGAATCCACTGAGGTAAGATAAACAGACTATTGACTTCTAATTCAATGACTGCTAGAAATGGGTGAATAAATGAAACTGTGAAGATTTGAAAACTAATGTCTCATGAAGCCTGCTAGAGCCATAAATGAGCACAACAAGGGTTTCAAACTAAGTAAAAGAGGAACCTCTCATGTCCCCTGATATGCAATAACGATTCTTCAACTGACGTCGAATCATGACGAGAGTCACCTTCACATTAAACTAATCTCCACCTAACTCAATGACGTATTTTACTTGAGCGAATCAACACGTAATAATCAACATTTTTGAAAATATTAAGAGTGAAACGTTAACCATCGATCTTAAATAGTTAAAGACGGATCTATGTATGCATAGAAAAAGAGTTTAAATCAATAATATAAAAATAGGTGAACATGCATTAATATAACCATTGTAACGAAGATTGAACTGATAAAAGACCGTCAACTGACGTTCAAACTACAGAAATATACCATAAATGAAATCAACTGGATCACTAAACCAAAGCAATGAATAGTGGAAATGAAATCTATTTTGTGTAAGGCAATTTTAAACTAGTCCGATAGTAAGTTAAGTCTGTTAGGATATTCATCAAATATCCTAAGAGTACTATTTTTGGAAGTATAATCCTATTGGTTGATTTCTATTGGCCAAAATTGTGATCGTTTTACCTGTTAAAGTCAAATACTTCAATGTTGTCTCTGATTGGTCATCCGAACTGTCAATGTCATTTCACGAGTTCTTTCCTATTGGTCGTCCTAAAACTGTCAATGCCACAGACTTCAAAGCTCTTTCCTATTCGACCTAAATGTATAATTTTGCACTATCTGTAAGACTTCATGATTCCGATTCCGTTTCTTCGTGCCTACCTCCTCTTCTGTGTACTCGACCCAATAAAAAACTCCATCCAACGGTGTTGCGTTCTGATATATATAGGAGATTTGGAAATAGCATTTTGGGTCGTATTGGTATGTAGTTGAATTTGGACGCCGTTAGGACTGAATAGCGATACGTAGCAGTGTTACAACAAAGTCCTTAAAGATAACTTTTAAGGTGACTCATTGAATTGTATTAAAATTTTTATAGCAACTGACCATAACAGTTACATTCTCCATTAAACTGCGACAACAATAACACTACTGTAAGTGAACAAATGTGATCAGCTATCACAAAACATGAATCCAAGTATGAGGAAAAGATCAACAACATAAGAATATGCGATCGGTTCACTCCTTTTTAACAAACAGGATTTATTTACTCGGAATTAAAAAAATATATACACAGAGATATACTCTTTTAGGCATTAAATATATTTCAGGGGAACATTCGGTTTACGGATTTCAAGTATAAACAATCACAAATTTAGAATGAAAGTTCAAATACAAGTTGAAAAGAACACCTTACTTTAACGGGATTTGAGCATCAACTGGAAGATTACAACTTTTCATCAATCTAATTAATTCACGACAATCTTCTTGCATTAGTTTGAAAGGAGCTAAAAAAAGAGGATAATTATATATATAATTTAGTACGCCGAAAAAAAAAACCGAGTAGTTGCAAATCAACTTTGTTAATCAATTTCGGGACACCAAAATAAAGCTTGCCATCTTGTTGCTTCAAGTCAACACAAACAGGAAGGTTCAGTTCGACTAATTATTATTCACGTCTGTTCAACAATTTGTATTGAACACTCCAGAAAAAAAAACTCAAACAAAATGTATCACATTTAACGAGTACTTTTTTTTGATTTTTATTAATTATCTCGAACCAATATCACATCATGTCAGTCAGTCAGCTACAAATGTAGAACTTCGTACGTGAGTACATAAATTCAGGTTGTCATACCGCATCAATACACAGACGAAACTGTCAGATATTATTCAAGAAGTATGATTCAGGGAGATAAGTTTAGAAAGAGAAAGATAGAGATCATGAGGAATTCAGGTCAGAATTTCAGAAAACACAGTGTGGATGAACCTGCGCCATTGCAAACAATTATGAGTCATGTCGTTCAACGTCTCTGACCATTGGTGAATTTCGTCTCGCGGACCACAATCAAGTAGACTACATCTACCAACATGACTCAGTTTCCTTGTCAGTGACTTCATGCATTTCTGTCATGTTTTGGTTTGGCCGCCCCTAACTTTAATCCAACTTACTCCTACACCACAAAACATAGCTCGTTGAGGCTGTCGATGGTTAGGCATTCGTAACACATGTCCCAACCACCTCAAATGATGAAGTTTCAATACTTCGTCTACTAATCTGCCATCCTTACCTAGGATCCGTTTCCTGACAGCATTTGCTTACTCGGTTGTCCTACGATACACGAGCAATGATCCGAAGCATCCATAATCGAATACTAATAACCTACGTATGTCTTCTACTTTCACCGGCCGTGTTTCGCATCCATATAGTAGGATGGAGAGAACTACTGCGCAATACACTCGTCTCTTTAGTAGCAAACAGATAACTACCCTACGCCATAACTGACGCAAGTTGGAAAAAGCCGATCGATCTTTCCGTATCCATGCTGAGATTTCGTCACAATCCAGGCAATCAACACTGATAAGACTGCGCAGGTAAGTGAAGCGGTCTACTACTTCACTCCCTATCACCAGTACAGGTGCCGATGCAACCCAATCCTGAAGCAACATTTTGTATTTCGAGAGGGAAAAGGGGTAGTCAAAAGACTTTGCATTTTGTCAGCGTCTACATCGAATAAAAACTATGTCATCAGCATATTCTAAGTCAGTAAGCATATCTTATATCATATCATGAATAAAATCAATTGAAACAGAAAAAATCAATTATAAAAACATACACACACAAACACACACATACCTAGTATTTCTTCATAATAAATCACTTCAGTTAAACATGATTCTAAACGTCCACGCAGCTGTTTTGATACATCCAATAAATCAGTTTTTATAATATTAAAATTTAAATCTAATAATTGTTGTCCTTGTTTTAAATCCAATGATAAGAATGGGGTAGATGACGAAGTAGAAAATAAATTAGCCCATGTAAAATTATTAAGCGAATCATTCGGATGAATCAAGCAACTTGATAAACATGACATTGACGATAGTAAAGACCATGAAGATACTAATAAACCAGCGATAAAACGTTGCATAGCTAATCGATCTTTTAAATGCAATTGGCATAGGAGTTGTCCGATAACGTAATTTAAGACACTAGTTGATGTACTACTATTATTGTTGGTATTAGTAGTAGTTGTTGTAGGATCATTGTCCGGATTAGTGTTTTCTACTACTGACGACGCCGACGACGACTTTGAAATGTCCGATATACATGGCAATAAATAAATTGGAATTAACTGATTGTATTGACAAATACGTGAACATAAATAAGCTAAAACACTATTTGAAAAAGAGAGAAAACACCGAAATAAACACAATAAGAGAGATAATCAAATCAAGACTGAAGTAAATTCAACTATTGTGGACGAATAAATAATAGATGAATACAACTCATTCATTATTTGCATTACGGGGTTGTGAAGATTGTTAAGTTACACATTTTTGAAACCATGAATCGATCAATGTTAGACCACCATTAGAAACCTGGAAGCACTGGATGGCCGTTTCGTCCTGGTATGGGACTCATCAGTGGCAGTGCGCATCCACGACTCCTGCACCCCGCAGGATTCGAACTTAACAATCTTCACAACCCCGTAATGCAAATTACCTGTACTCACTAGTGACTAGCTTCGTGAGGAGAATCTTCTGCGAGTTCTAGTGGGAAGACGTGACCAGTGAAGTTCAACCTGTTCGGGTGTAGACAGTGTCTACCGGAGACAGTGTATGAGGTTGCGCAACTCCGTGAATCATTCACTATTTGACTACGATGAAGTTCTTACTAGCTTGTCAATCATTACATATGATTGATTACATAAGTGTTAATGGGACATAGATGGAATTAAAGCATGACTGCGTCAGCTGCGCGCTGATTGGCTAATTTCCTAATCCAATCAGCGCCTTATCGATTCTTGGAGAATAGGGTAGAAAATTCTCGTATTGTTAGCTGCATGCTGATTGGCTAAATCTAATCCAGTCGATCACGTGAATTACTATCCAGAAGCTTCTCATGTAAATACTATAAAGAGACTAACGTTGTTTCTGTTTTGCGTTCGCCTTCGGCTTCGTATTTAAATTTAACTTTGCTATTTGGAATATAATCTTTTCCTGTTTCACCGAGTTTTGGATTCTTGGAACTTGACCAGTGTATTGTGTGATCAGAGAATACTAAGCAATAGGATTTAGCTGGGAATTAGTTAAGCAAGCGTTACAACAATAAAAGACATCATATATAGTTAATAGTTTTTAGATGAGTCATTTGCTACAATAAAAAGAGATAGTTCATCGTGGAGTGTGGAAGACTGTGTACGATTAAAAAAAAGAAAAGTTATCAGGACCGCTTGAAAAGTTCAGCAGTATTCAATTTGACACTAAAATACGAGAGGATCCCATCAAAAATTGAGAAAGCAATGTTAAAAACGATATCTACTTGTAGGCAGTGTGTCTACGTATGGATAGATAGCAGCACAAGTGAACCATAAAAGGTTGAGTCCTAAAGATGACCTCAAAAAATCGTGTTTGAAAGATCATGCAAAGCTTTAACCGGAGATTAAAATGCTCAAATTTGTGGTCTCTTTATGTGACTGGTGAAACCTTTGTGCTTAAATGTCATTTAGTGATAATGGTCTCTGTTACAAATGCACGTAAACACGTCAACTTGATATGCTTGAACTATTACGAGTTTACTTTAGTTGGAAAACGAGGGCGAGAATAGAGGATCCGGGGACACGACAGGCTACTCTAATCCGATTGTCCCAACCCCCCTCATTGCGTAAAATAAGAAGAGTTGATATGAAGTAGAACCTGTATTATAAAAACACCCAGAAATTACGAGGTCCGAGTCCAGAAGAGGATAAGGATCTCGGACTAGGGATCCGGGTGCTGGTCGTGGTCATAAAACGTTGCAGATAATGCGTATTTATACAGTTAGGTCGAATAGGAAACAGCATTGAAGTCTGTGACATTGACAGTTAGATAGACCAATCGAGAACAACATCTGAAGTGACATTGATAGCCAGGACAACCAATCGGAAACAACATTGAAGTGCGTGACATTGATAGTCAGTAAGACCACAATATTGACCAATAGAATCAGACATACAAAAATAATTCCCTTGGGGATATTTGATGAATATCCTAAAAGTCTCCTAATGTACTACTACACGCTGATAAATTATTTTTAGCCAACAGCAATTTCTAAAAAAATAAACCCATAGGTGATATGCTTACTACCTAGTGTCTTTCTTCTGTAACTTAAGCTTCGACTCATTGATTATGTCGTGAAAAGTTGACGTTGCCATTGTTAATATGTATGTACAAGTTACACAAAGATAGTCAAAATCTGAACTAGTGAAAAAATAATTTAGCAAAGATTTAATGTAATACAGTACACTTCTAAAGATAAAAAAACATACCGAACAGCTGAGATTCTAGTTTCTAAAACATATGATTCCATTTCTGACCGACTGGCAGTTAAACATTGAAAACCACCAATACAATATGTTGGTTGAGGTATACATACACCTGTTTGATTACTTGATGTAATATCTGCTGTGTCAGTATTCTCAGTTGATGTAACCTTAAAACAAAATAGAACAGATTTAATACTAGCATAAAATATATCAATCCACCAATCAATCAATAACAACGTAGAACTTCCCCCGACCATAGCTGCTACATTGACGTGGTGGTCGGGCTTGACTATCGTGATCACCCAACAGAGCTATATTGGCTGGAACATATATTCCTGAAGGTTCTACCATGCCACGCAGGTCGATTGGAGAACGATCAGACTAAAAGCAACTACTCAAGGTTTGAGGGCGAAGTCGTACTGCTGACTAACTGTAGAGGGGTGTGACAGCAGTAAGGTGTTTCCATCGGACAACCAGCATCTGAAGCGATGCTGCCTTCTCACAAGGAACGAAGGGGTTAGAAAAGGCCGACCCTAAAAATGTCACACCTCACGGATTTCCGTTTCCAACGGTAAGGGTGCCCACTAAGGGCTTTCAAGAGCGGAGTGGTGATGAGGAAATCTGAAGGTTAGGATCAGAGAGAACACAAAGAATGAATACACCTGCGCCATTGCAAACGATTTTGATACATGGCATCCAGGACCTCTAACCATCGATTACTATCATCTCACGTACTAAAACCAGGTAGTCGACATCTACCGACATGACTTAGTCCACTTGAGCATAGAAATATCATAATATACGAAAAATTTGAACTTATCGGTTAGGTGACAATAACACAGAACAATGGTACTATGATATCGTAGTGAGACACGTGAATAAAATGTCACAAAAACGATGAGCACAATTAAAGGGAATGCTCAACTTTAAGAAACAAAATATTCCCTACTATTTTTGTTAGCTTATCATATATGGATTGTTATGTAATCAAAGTAACTAACTGATCCATATTTGTGTCTAACTATTGAAATCAAACTAACAGCATTAAACAGAAAAGTTTCAAAGAAAAAAAACATTTTTCTTGAGCTTTTTTACCCACTGAAAATTACGGCAAACTCCGCCAGTAGAACCTTAGGCGCTACTGCCGGTCCCAAGCCCGGATAAAGGAGGAGGGTTAGACATGGGGTTGACAACCCCATTCCGTCGACGAAATCTAACTTGCCAAAAAAACGCTAACCAGAAAATTACAGCAAGTGTTAACTTTGGATTTAATCCACAAAGCATCCACCACACACACACACACAAAATAAAAATACTAATTCAACTCAAACTTAACACGTCAGAAACAAATCTACCAATTCCAAAATTGAAAATAAGCATTTAAGAAGAGGAAAATTTAACAAACATCGAAATACTTACTGTCAGTTTGCATAATTCCTCATTACTTGTTTTCAATCCACTCGTTGTAAATTGTACACCAGATTGAGATTGTAAACAAGGTACTAAGAATTTATTTGGATAAGGTATACCAGTTGGTTGCATAGCTTGACATAGCCATACATCTAAACGACGAATACTTGCTTGAACAAGACAATCGATTTTAGCTGTTTGAATAATTTGAATTGTAAGCTATATGAAAAGAAATATTTAACGATAAGATGCAAAATAATGATATGCTTGAAACTATTACGAGTTCACCTTACTCGGTGGTAAACGAGAGCGAAGACAAATGAACCAGCATGACACGATAGGCTATTCTGATTCGATTGTCCCTTGGTCCTGCTAACTATATCAAAAAGTCTTGATATGGCATAGAAAGTGTATTCTACAAGCACCCAGAAAATACGAGGTCGACAAATACACAAATCATAGAAACGACCTTGGGGGAGCCACAAAATAGCGTACTCAAACAATCCATGGACCAATAACAGCCACGGATGTTCTGGATGGGAAATGTAATCTCCATGTCATCTGGTCAGCCCGTGCTCGAAAACATAAAATCCAAAATTAGGACCTTTATCAAGTGAGTTCTGAGGAACTAACGTTCCCAACACATAATTTATTGAAAATAGACACAAGAGACAGACAAATCAACAAGACACGTTATCAAAGAATTAAACGATCGTATAGAAAAAGTTTACAATATTCTGAATTAGGATTAGTGTGATTACATTAATGATTTATGAGTCCATCAAATGTAACATAATATGCAATTAGTCTCTATAAATTATAAAATTTACAGTGTTTAAGCCTGGTTTAGAGCGGGTTTTAGGAGATCAGGAATAACATTTCATAAATCATTAGTGTTAGTGATATGTGTTGGTAAAGCACTGATAAATGCACTGAGTCATGTTGCTAAATGTAGGCTACCTGGTTGGGATCCGCGAGACAATCGTAACCGGTGGTTAGAGACTTTGAACGACACGGCTCAAAATCGTTTGCAATGGCTCAAGTGCAGCCACTCTTTGTGTTCTATGAAATTCTAAGCTTCTGCATTCCTCATAATCTCTACCTTTCTCCTTCTAAATTTATCTTACTTAATTATACTTCTCGAATCATATCTTCGCTCTCTAATCTTCTCCATTACTGCTAATACTTCTATTATTGCTATCACTCTTGGATTTGAACTGACAGTTGCGTCTCTGTGATAATGCGATATGGCAACCTGAACTGATGTACTTACGTACGAAGTTCTGCGTTGTATCTGTCTGTCTGTCTGTCTGGTGATAAAGACAGACAAGAAGAATTAGTTGTGAAGATAGAACTGGAGATTTTTAATCGTGAACAAGATTATCTCAAATGCTGTTAAACGGGAAGTTTTCACCTCACAGTTGCTTACACCGTAGAAAAAAGATATTTTTTCTTGAGACCTAAAAAGGAAGCTCGGTAAGTGGGTCTAAGTAACCTAAGAGAATGACCACCTAACCCAAACGACAACTGCTTAAGGCTGATCAACAAGCACAGTCTTTCTGTGGGAAGTTTTTAGAGTTTTAGATCCGCACCTCTAAATTCATGAATGTACTCTTATATTTCAAATGCTTAGTTTAAACGTTAGGTGACATTGAGAGTTGATGACATTATGTAAATAACTAAACTGAAGCAAATTTGCATACTACATTACTGTGCATAAAAATAAACTGTAAAAAAAATATCAGCGTAATTACAGCAAGCTATGACACAACGTCTAGAAAATCAATACTTATGTCAGCAGACTTGTTAACAGAAATCCTACTACATTCAAAGGTTAGGGGGAGTGAGTGACATGATTGATCCCAAAACAATCACAATAAGAGAATAAAAAAAACCAACTTACATTAGTAGCAAGGGCACGTATTGAACTATATGATTCTAATAGTATACGTTGAAATAAATTATCCAAGATTATGTGTAATGTATCCACTGATAAGATTTCCATCTAAGTTGTAGCCATAGAAAAAAAGGAGGAAACAGAGGCGTAAATACAAGAGAACTAGGTAAATAGTCAAAAGAGGATTAATGATGCATCTAATTCAAATCGAAGACAATGTTAGTAATACATGCTTCCGGCATAAACTAAGTACGTAGAAGCCCCCAAATGCCCTGGTGTGGCCAAGAGTGAAGAGAGTTCCCCATCGCCCTCTAAATCCTCACATATGGTCATGTGCATGTAGCCAGTGTCAATAAAGTCCTCCTACTTCACTGCTTTCTAGTGGCAAACGCTTTGTTTATGAATTCTGGTGGACGAAAAGCGAGTGTCCAGCCAATTAACCGATTTGATAGGTACGGAGGATCCACCTAGGAGAGTTGAGAAATCCTAATTCAAAACTAATGCTGCACATGGTCTACAGGACCATGAGGGGACAGAAGATGGTGTATGAACCGAATATGGGACCCCATTGTGTGAAAACAAAAATAACAGAGCATTCAGAAAGAGTTAGGGAACCTTATTTTTATTCAGGTAAGACTAACCTATTGAATTTCGTTATATATGTTTTATCCTAGTTGTATTGTGTAATAAAAGTGATTTGTTTACTTAAAATATCCCACACATAAATTTGCATCAATCTAACATTACGTATTGTTGTTGCGGATGTTGGATCACCAGAACTCGCTTGATAAATATCTTTATTTTGGATTTATTTCATGGACCGATCAGTTGACCTTGGGATTACATTTCCCACCAAGAAAATCGTTGGCTGTGATTGGTTACTGTGTTATTTTAGTGTGCTATTTTTGTGACTGTCCCAAGGACGTCTCTATAGAGTATATAAATAAACGCAATTTGAGTACTTGGATTCATTGTGTGCTGGTTGGGTGTTTGTAGAATACAATTTCTACGCTAGATCAAGACTTCATGCTGGAACAATTTGGTCAAGGGATCACAGTAGCCTACCTGGACGCTGGTTCATTGTTTTTTTCTCGTTATTCGACTAAGGTGAACTCATAATAGTTTAAGCATACCTAGAGACGAGCGTAACAATTGTACCCTATTCTTTTAATCTTCTGTCTTAGTTTGTCAAAAATTTCTTCACAATAATATTAATAATAATAAGTTTTATAACTTCACGTTGTTTGCAGATCATAAAGCATTGACATAAAATGCATAAATGTAGGGGGTTTGAAAATTTTCAACTGTTTAACAACTTAGGTTAGATTATATATACTATTGGGATCCCGACCGTAGCTGCTACATTGACGTGGTAATCGAGCTTGACTATCGTCATGACCCAACCGAGCTGTACTGGCTGGAACATATGTTCCTGAAGGTCGATTGGGGAACGATGAGACTAAAAGCAGCTACTCAAGGTCTGAGGGCGAAGTCGTACTGCTCACTGCAGAGGGGTGTGACAGCAGTAAGGTGTTTACCTCGGACAAACAGCATCTGCAGCGATGCTACCTTCTCACAAGGAAGGAAGGGTTAGAAAAGGTCGACCCTAAAAATATCTCAACATCCTACATTACGGATTTCCGTCTCCGGCGGTAAGGATGCCCACTAAGGGCTTTCAAGAGCGGAGCTAATACTCAAAAAACTTCTCATAAAAAGGCCGTGCGTGACCGGCCTCAAGCAGTCGTCCCTTGGACTATGCGGTCACGCACCCAGGTCTCCAAGACCAACACTAATCTATCTTCCTTTTCAAGTTCCTCAAGAAGCAACCTTCCACTATCTGCGCAGCCGAGAAGTGATAACCGCCCTCATACTCGTAACAGATATCGTAGTATAAAGTATATGCCATTGGACAGGTTAATGTGGTGATATTGAAGCTTCACCAAAAAGTCAACGTAACAGCTATATGATGACTAGTAAGTAATAAGCGTAAAACTTCATTGATAAACTTAACAAATAAAATAACATACTTGTTCTTCACATGATTCTATGACACATTGTAAAGTATTCAAAGCACTTTGACGAATCGATGAAGAGACATGATGTAATAGTTCTGCTATGATCATTATCTTTTCACTAGTATCAATTTGATAAATACTGAAGAGAAAAAAACGATAACAAGAAATAAATAATGTGTAACAAAGAATAACGATGAGAAAGCAATTAAAAATCCCCCACCCACCCAAAAAAATACATTTTTTCTGATATCAAACAAGAGTGAAATCGGTTAAGCTAGACAAGTTGAATAAGTTCGAGTCAGTCAGTGAGCTACAACGTAGAACTTAGCACGTACGTACATCAGTTCAAGTTTCCTTACCACAGAGAGAAATCAAATTGTTAATTTCAATCCTATGGTGTTGGAAGTATTAGAGGTATTTAAAAAGATTAGGGATCGAGGATATCACTGAAGGAGTATATCCCAGGGAAATAAATTTAAAGATGGAAGAGAAACTGTCATAAGGAATTCAGAAGACTGGAAGTTGAGAAAACACAAATAATGGATGCATCTGCACCATTGAAAACGATTTTGAGCCATGTCATTCAAGATCGCTAACCTTCGATTACTATCATCTCGCGGACCCCAGCTAGGTAGTCTACACCTAGGAACATGGCTCAGTCCAGTTGGCCGTGACTTCATGGATTTGTGCCATGTTTTGATCGTGCAGCCCCTAGCTTTGTTCCTGCGCACTCGTAGATCGCAAAACATCGCTCGATGGTATCTTCCATCTTTACCTAATATCCTTTTCTAACCCCTATCTTTTATTGTGAGAAGGCAGCATCGCTGCAGCCGCTGAGTGTCTCAGGGAAACTGCTGTCACACTACTCTACAGTCAGCAGTATGACTTTGCGTCCCCCTTACCATTCTCCAACCGGCCAGTCTGGCATGGTATGACTTAAAAGACCATATGTTCCAGCCAATACAGCTCGGTTGGGTCATCACGACAGACAAGCCCGACCACAACTACAGTCGGGAATAAGTTTGAATAATTGATAAGAGAGTTGACATCAAATAGTTATAGGATAGCGCCAGCTGCTCGAACAGGAAATTTTTACGTAGCTGGACTATTAATGCCTTTTACAGGGGTATGCCTATTACTAACCAAATACTACAGACTATCGGCTTGAGTCATATGGTGAGAACAAGTAAAATTGGCTTTTGCTGTCGAAAGGAACATTAACATCTTGGAAGCTTTTAATATTCTTTGAAAGTTATTTATATATAATCACTATGAATTGCCTAGTAAATTCAAAACAGTTTATGATTATACTATGAACAATAATTTTTTGCTCGAAAAAAAAACTGAACTCGGTGTGATCGCGTTGTTTTTAAAAGCGAAGTAAAAACTGCCTCCAATGTGATTAAATGTTACTATTATGTTGAAACGAATGTATAGGCAATTTTTTCTTGTTTTAGCCGAAACTTTAATTCGTCTACACACATATACCAACATCTCGACAAGGGGAAAAAGGAAACGATGGATATATAAAGGTTTAATTAAAAATAAAGTTCCACATCTACATGTACATATTTTGATGTAGATTTCATTTAGATTGATAGTTCATTTAGTCAGTTACAAAGTATAACTTCATACGTACGTATGCACATACGTAAGTCCAGGTTGTTATACCACATTATAGCACAGAGACGCAATTGTCATTTCAAATCCCATTGTGATAGGGAGATAGTAGAAGTATTAGCAGTAACCGAGAAGATTAGGTTTCGAAAGAATTATTCAAGAAGTATAATTCAGTAAGATTGCTGTAACGCCAGCTTATATATATTTTCCGGCTAAATCCTATTGCTTAGTATTCACTGACCACAATACACTGGACAAGTTCCCAAGAATCGAAAATACGGTTGAACAGGAAAAGATTATATTCCAAATAGCAAGGTTAAATGGAATAAGAAGCCAAAGGTGATGGCAAAGGCGAAGGCAAAAATAGATACAACGTTAGTTTATTTATAGCATTTACATGGAAAGCTTCTGGATAGAAATTCACGTGATCGACTGGATTAGATTTAGCCAATCAGCACGCATCTAATAATACGAGAATTTTCTACCCTGTTCTCCAAGAATCGATCAGGCGCTGACTGGATGGGAAATTAGCCAATCAGCGCGCAGCAACGTAGTCATGCTTTAACTCCATCTATGCCCCACTAACACCACTTTGAGAAAATTAGTAGGAGCTGGTACTAGAGTCCAACTGCTTCCTGGGTGCCTCGCCACCCGTACTCTTACGAGCCGCCTGTTTTGTAGGAACCATATCTTTAAACAACCGTCGATCGGGCTGCTTCCCCACCGATAAGTTTTGTTGAGGCTTATGAACAGCATATGGCATGGGGCGTCTCGGACACGAAACAGGTTTGGCATCTGCTTTCACTGGTAGGTGAGTTTTCATATTCGTACAGTGGCCAAGGCTACTCTGAAAAACAGAGGCTGACTTCCTCTTCCGTTCATCTTGTAACCTTTCACCTGTCTTCTTTGTAAGTATTGGGGTGTCCAATGATGAACACGATACGCTGCAGACACTGTTAATGGGTAAATCCATTATTCCCAGTTTTTATAGCATATCTAGACCAAGAAGATCAAGGTTTGGCCGTTCTGTCAGATAGCATATTCCTGTACATTTTGTTCCGTTGAAGGAAAATTCACACTGGAATTCACCAACCTGTTTTAACACACCACCTGAAGCGCTTTTAGGTGTTTTCTTAGAAGGCTTCATTGGTGGTTTTCCCAACAAGTTATACGTTTCTCTAGACATTAAGGTGATATCAGATGCCGTGTCGATTTGAAAGCGAGCTGATGCACCGTTCATATGGATAGTAACATACTTTCTCCGAACGTCATAATCTGTTTGAGAAGAAGCTACCAGAGAAAGTGATTTAGACTCGGCTAATTTCACCACATGTCAAGTACGTTTATGCTTCTTCTTGGGCTGAGACGTACGATTTGGTTGACAATGGCCTTCTTTATGTCCACGTTTATTGCACATTTGACATTTATGTTCTTTAAATGGAGATAATCGTATGTAGTGCCAATCACCACATAACCAACATGCCGTCGTACCAACACAACTGCATCATACACTCAATCTTACCCTTATTAAATGAACAATTGGTACGTGTGCGTGTGAGTAGGTTTTAAATATATGACACGATGGCTAAATTATGATATCACACATATATTGAAGGAAAAAGTCATTTTATTTGATGATATTAACAGCAGATGCAGCAAAACATGATCATAGATAGTTTTAAAACAAAAACTATACATATTCCTACGATAAAAGATACAATAGGCATACACTGTTTACAATCATACCTAATATCCACTTCCGATTTGATTGTATTATTATTCTGTTGTTTCTTGCCTAATTCAGCTTTAGTTAATGCACAAACTAAACTAAGTACTGGACCGGTGGATGGTGAGAAATCTGATGGTGTATTACGTATCAATGACCAAAGATGTTTAACAAATAAATGATATTCATGTTGACTTAATGATTCAATCCATACTGTGTCAATAATTGGTAATAAAGCTGAAGCAGCAGCTGCACGTATATCTTCATCGTCCACCAGGGCACTGACATTAGCATTAGCACTATTCAATGAAGATGAATGATGACAACTAGTTAGTTGTTGTTGTTGTTGAGGAGGAGGAGATGATATAGATTGATGATCAGTTGTAATTGGTATACCAAATAATCGACTAATTAAACATGGTGTAACATGAGGTAATAGAGTATCTTTTAAATCCTGTAAAAACAAGGAAAAAAATTCGTTAAATCAACTTAGTATACTTTTCCAACACACAGAAACAAAACAAATCGCCAAATCAAATGTAGTTCAGATATTGACTGTAAATATGATATTGTCATTGGAGTTGGGCAAAAATTCATTTCCGTTAAGAGGAACAAAAACTAGGAACGTTTGTATTAGTATTGTGGTGTGAGCTACTTATAAGTAGTATATGACGTGAGTGTCAACATAATGTCTGGCAGCAGAAGATGGGGGAAGATCAACAAGAAAGGAAGAGTGTGGGAACACAATGGAATTTGTATGAAACGCATGAATAGTAACAATGGATTGATGTTTTGCAACAGGAACAGTCCAGTTCGATATGATGGACTGATATTTTGCAAATGAACAATTTACTATATGGTTTTCCTATTTTACTGAGTAACGCTGTTTTTTTCGTTAAATACAATTCGGTTGCCCCACCTGTGTTCTCGTTCACTACATTTGGTGTCGCTGCCTGCTCGAAGGAAGGAGCTCCTGTGGCCGAAGGAGTTGCAGGACGGAGATTTGCAGAGCTTCCTGGAAGAGTTTGAGGCCACGGTGGAGATGGTGGGGGCCCGTGGCGGAGTTGACGGTGCTGGGGACGCTGCGGGGAGGTGAGGCGAAGGCGGTATACGACAGTCTGGACGGTGCCGCCGGGAAGACGGCGTGGGAGACGGTCACCGGGCGGCTGATGACGGAGTTCGACAGCCCAGTGGACAGGGAGCAGGCGCAGCAGAGGTTCCGGTTGGCGCGGCTGTCGGTGCTTGCTGTGGAGCTCACCAGATTGCGCCGTGAGGAGTGGGGGGCACAGTTGTTGGTGTCGCAATTATTCGAGAGTGTGCCTGCCGCCGTGTCCCAGCATCGCCAAATCAAATGTAGTTGGAGTTGAATAAAATTTATTTCAGTTAGGAAGAACAAAAACTTGGAACGTTTGTATTAGTAGTAGTAGTAGTAGTAGTAGTAGTAGTAGTAGTAGTAGTAGTAGTAGTAGTAGTAGTAGTAGTAGTAGTAGTAGTAGCAGTAGTAGTGTAGTGAACGAGAACACATGTGAGGGCAACCGAATTGTATTTAACGAAAATTACAGAGTTGTTACTCAGTAAAATTGGAAAACCATATAGTAAATTGTTCATTTGCAAAATATCAATCAGTCCATCATATCGAATTGGACTGTTGTTCCTGTTGCAAACAACATCAATCCATTGTCACTATTCATGATGCGTTTCATACGCGAATTCCATTGTGTTCCCACACTCTTCCTTTCCTGTTGATCTTCCCCCATCTTCTGCTGCGCCAGACATTACGTTGACGCTCACGTCATATACTACTTATAAGTAGCTCGCACCACAGTAGTAAGTATTATGATACATGAGAGCAGAATTGTTAGAGAAAAACATACACATTCTTAAAGGTGTAATTAGCCTAACTACCTTTTAGGAAACCGTTACTTCTTACGATTTATTAAATAAAGATATTGAGAAGAAGTAGATCAAATGCATAGTTATGAGGACGAAAGTCACAAATGGTTATAAGAGACCTTGAACGACATGGCTCAAAATCGTTTGCAATGGCGCATGTGCATCCATTGGTTGTGCTCTCTTAAATCCTTATCTAATGGATTCGTCAGTACCTCTACCTTTGTCTTTCTAACCTTATCTCACTCACTGAATTATACTTCTTGAATAATATCTTCAAACCCTAGTCTTCTTCATTACCATTAATACCTGTACTATCTCTATCACTCTTGGATTTGATTTGACATTCTCGTCTCTGTGCTAATGTGGTATGGCAACATGAACCTATGTACATACGTACGAAGTTCTACGTTGCAACTAACTGACTGAACGCCTGCATTGTTATGAAGAAAGGACGGTTTATAATAAATTTAGAAAAGCAATTGAGCGATGCTCAACCCGAAAGGAATTGACAGTAATCAATTCAGCGTAAGATTGTCGATCCTATTCAATGCATGCATACCATTGTTCATGTCCATATCAGAATGCAAATTCTACGAAGTCGATATTCTATTGTATCCAGATAGTTTTGGTGGTGCATTTGATTCAGTTGTAATGAGTATCGTATGAAAACTGTTAAATTATGTGATAATTATTTGATCCAAATTACTTATTAATTAGAAGGGAATTAGTATGAAAGAAAGCTACTTTTTGTGAGATGTGTATTTGTCGCTGTTAGGATATTCATCCAATATCCTAAGACAATTATTTGTAAGTCTAGTTCTATTGGTCAATCCCTATTCGTAAGTTCCTACTGGTCAATATTATGGTCATTCTGACTATCATTGTCACTTTAAATAGTGTTTCCTATTGGTCGCCTAAACTGTCAACGTCACAGACTTCGGTGCTCTTTCCTATTCGACCTAACTGTATAAATACGCGTTATCTGTAACGTTTTATGACTACGACGAGGACCAGGACCCGGTCCCGGATCCCTAGTCCGGGATCCGGATTCTCTTCTGGGCTCAGACCTCGTACTTTCTGGATGTTTGTAGAATACAGGTTCTACTTCATATCAAATCTTCTTCTTTTACTCAATAAGGGGGAGTTGGAAAAATCGGATTAGAGTAGCATGTCGTGTCGCCGGATTCTCGATCCTCCGGCTCGTTTTCCGATTAAGGTAAACACTCGTAATAATTCAAGCATATCAAATGACGTGTTTACGTGCACGCGTAACAATCGTATATCATTGTTTTTTTCTGCTTACTAGTTAGGGTTAAGTTGACAATATTGGGGTCAGTGTCTTCAAATAAAAAATTTCTGGTGTTAATATTTTCCAATCCGGTTACAACAGTGGAAACTAACTCTTTTCTAATACAAATAATGCAACAAAGTAACACTGAGCTAACGCTAAACACTGAAAACTATTTTACACATAAAACTGATATTTAATTTGTTCCAAGTATTGTGATTTACTGAGTTTAATGATTCAGTACTTAGGGTAATGAGTATTTAATCTTTTACTGACTTGATTATCTGCTATGGAAACAAACATCTAAAGGGTTGTGAAAGATCACAAGTGCAATCTCGTCTATTTGTACTTACTTCGAACTCTTATACAAAAATTTTTCTTTAAATTAGAGTTATGGTGATTAGTGTTTGTTGCACATTGAAAGCATCAATCACTCATTGTTAGACAGACCACCATTAGAAACCTGAAGTCAGTCAGATGCAACGTAGAACTTCGTACGTAAGTACATCAGTTTATGCCGCCATACCACATCAGCACAGAGAGATGTCATTGTCAATTCAAATCCAATAGTAGAAGAGGTAGTAAAGGTATTAGAAGTAATCGGAGAGGTTAGAATTAGAAGATATTATTCACGAAGTATGATTCAATGAGATAAGTTTAGAAAGTAAAAACTAGAGGTGTTGAAGAACCCAGAAGATTAGGATTTGAGAGAACATAACGAATAAATGCACCTGCACCATTGCAAACGGTTTTGAGCCATGTCATTCAAGGTCTCTAACCATCGATTATTATCATCTCGCGGACCCCAACCAGGTAGTCGACAATTACCGACATGGCTAAGTCCACTCGTCAATGACTTCATGAATTTCTGCCATGTTTTCGTTTGGCCGCCCCTAACTTTCTTCTAATCTACTCCTACACTACAAAACAAAGCTCGTCGAGGCAGTCGGTGGTTAGACATACGCAGCACATGTCCCAACCACCTCAACTGATGAAGTTTCATTACTTCATCAAATTTGAACTGCCATTTTTACCTAGCACCCGTTTCCCAATAACAGCATTGCTCACTCAGCTGTCCCAAGATATACGAGCAATGCTTCGAAGACACCTATGATCGAAAACCAATAACCGACGAATATCTTCTACTCTCACTAGCCATGTTTCACAGCCATAAAGTAAGACGGAGCGAACTACTGCACAGTAGTACACTCGTCCTTTATTCAGCAAACAGATATCTCGCCTACACCATAAGTGACGCAGGTTGGCGAAAGCCAATCGAGCCTTCTGTATCCGTGCTGAGATTTCGTCAGTCACTAGGCATTCACTGAACGGCCGTTCCGTCCTGGTATAGAGGACTCATCAGTGGCAATGAGCATCCACAACTCCTGCACCCAAGACCTTCGGTCTTGCATGAGAACGCCTAATCTCTCGTTTTGTTACTTAGAATTCGTGCATTTTATTTCATACTACTTCCCTTGCATTTAAAATTTTAGGTTGATCATATTGACAATAACTATTTACAACAAAGATTAAGTTTTATTTATTACCTGCCTACCCACCACCCCCAACCAAGAAAGAATAGTTTGAAAAAAACAGAAATATGCAATCAATTCTCCTATCATAAAAGTTGCAAAAAACTTGTATTATGCACACGTACTATAATATGCTAAGGAGAGGTGAGTGAATTCGCCTCACATGGTATGCAATGCAATCAACAACAAAAATAAAAAAACATCATACTTAACATGATTTTTGAAATTATAAAGAAAAAAAAACCGGTTTATACCAGTGTAAATAAATAAGAATGCTTTAGAGTATATGTATGTTTATTTATTCTGTCAACTTCTTTTTATCTAATAAGTAAAGTAACCTAATGAAATGATTAAGAAGAGATGATTAATTGATTGATTGATTGATTAGACTAGTGAAAAAAAAAAGTAGTATTCTCATAAAAACTCACGTCAACTTGAGTAGTTTCTGTAACACAACTATTATGAACCGAGTGTGAATGCCAAGTCACTCAGTGTACATACGTACCTAGTTATACGTTTCGTTGTGATCGGTGAATCTCTTCATCATTGTCTCATTTATGTGAAAAATCAAGGCTTTTTCAATTAGATTTATGAAGATTAGTGTTTTTTTACACATTTAAAATCGTCAACCAACGATTGTTGTTCGTATACCGTGGGATAACCGAGTAAGCTATGCTGTCGTTAGGAAACCAGTACTAGGTAAGGATGGCAAATCAATAGATGAAGTGGTGAAACTTCATCAGTTGAGGTGGTTGGGACATGTACTGCGTATGCCTCGACGAGCAATGGTGACAATATCAAAGCTTTTACACGTTGAAATCATCAATCAATCAATCGTTGTTAGACTACCATTAGGATGGAAGAAAATTAGTGGCGGCCAGACAAAAATATGGCAGAAATCCATGAAGTCACTGACAAGTGGACTGAGTCATGTTGGTAGATGTACTCTACTAGATTGTGGTCCGCGAGATGAATGTCACGGTTGGTTAGAGACCTTGAATGACATGGTTCAGAATCGTTTGCGATGGCGCAAGTGCATCCATTCGTTGTGCTCTCTCAAATCCTAATCTAACGGATTCGTCAACACCTCTACCTTTATCTTTCTAACCTTATCTCACTGTATTATACTTTTTGAATAATATCTTCAAACCCCAGTCTTCTTCATTATCATTAATACTTCTACTATCTTTATCACTATGGGATTTGATTTGACATTTGCGTCTCTGTGCTAATGTGGTATGACAACCTGAACTTATGTACATACGTACGAAGTTCTACGTTGCAACTAACTGACTGAACGCCTGCATTGTTATGAAGAAATGACGATTTATAATAAATTTAGAAAAGTAATCGAGCGATGCTCAACCCGAAAGGAATTGACAGTAATCGATTAGGCGTAAGATTGTCGATCCTATTCAATGCATACCATTGCTCATGGCAACATGAACTTATGTACATACGTACGAAGTTCTACGCTGCAACTAACTGACTGACCAACGATTGTTAGACAGACTACCATTAGAAACCTGGAAGAAGAAGCACTGAAAGACGGCAGTTTCGTCCTGGTATGGGACTCATCAGTGGCAGTGCACATCCACGACTCCTGCACCTCGCAGGATTCGAACCCAGAACCTCCGGTATTGTGTGCAAACGCCTAACACCTCTGGACCACTGAGCTGGCCCGACATCCAACGGTGTTAATGTCTAATTCTGATTGATCAAAGCTTTAAAAGTGTAGTAACAATATAAAATAATAATAATAATAACGAATGTACAAACCTTTCTTGAAGCAAGTAAATATTTAATGCCTAATAAACCACCATGTGTTATCATCCAACTATTTTTTGATGTATTTGTATTCTCCTCCTTCGGACAAGGTATATTTGTACATAATTGATTGATTGTGTCATCATTTAATGAGACTAGAAATATTAAATGTTTTGTCACTAATAATATTTGTTCCAGTGTTAAATGCAATGATAATACACCTAATAATTGTGCAGCTGTTTCACGTACTGGAGCAACAATCTGCAGAAAAAATGACAAAAATAAATAAACAGACAGATAGACAGATAGACAGACAGACTGACTGAAGAAAAGAAACAGTAGAGAAAAATAAAAGCTAAACGGTGATTGACACAATTTTTATGGAGGTTTGTTACATGTTTTCGTAACTACTACTACTGTGGTGCGCGCTACTTATAAGTAGTATATGACTCGAGTAAAAACGTAATGTCTGGAGCAGCAGAAGATGAGGGAAGATCAAGAAAGGAAGAGTTACAAAACAATGGAATTTGTATGAAACGCATGAATAGTGAAAAGTCAGACAATGGATTGAAGATTTGCAAATTAACCGTTTACGATATGGTTTTCCTATTTTACTGAGTAACTCTGTAATTTTCGTTAAATACAATTCGGTTGCCCTCACTTGTGTTCTCCTTCACTACACTACTATCTGCTATTTGCAGGAAGAAGAATGATGACAAAACGGGACTATTTTATTCATTATCTATCATTCATGAAATTATTCCTTTAGACAGTGATCAGTTTACAACTTGTATACGATAAACTGATTGATTCTGTGACTGTAGAATTGAATATGCCACTTTGGTGACTTCCTATTGGTTAATTCCTACTAGTCAATTTTATGATCGTCCTAGATATCAATGTCACGTGCTCCAATGTTGTTTCTTATTGGTTCTCCTGATTATCAATGTCATTTGAAATTTTACTTCCTATTGGTCGTCTTAACTGTCAAAGTCAAATACTTCAATGTTGTTTCTCATTCGACCAAAATGTATCAATACGCATTATCAGTAACGTTTTATGGACCGGAACTGGACCCGGATCCCTAGTCCGGAATCCTAGTTCTTTCCTGGATTCGGACCTCGTACTTTCTGGATGCTTGTAGAATACAGGTTCTACTACGTCATATCAAGCCTTGTCTTCTTTTACTCAATATGGGGTTTGGGATAATCGGATTTGAGTAGCATGTTGTGTCACCGGATCCTCGATCCTCGCTCTCGTTTACCGACTAGGTAAACTCGAAATAGTTCAAGCATATCAAGTTGACGTGTTTACGTGCAGGTGTAACAAAAAGCTATTGAATTAACCATCTATTCGAATCATGCTTTATGGATAATCTAGACTGTGTTTTGTTAGTGCACAGCAGTTCGCTGTGTCCTATTATATGGTTGCGAAACATGGCCGTTAAGAGTAGAAGACATTCGAAGATTATTGGTTTTCGATTATAGATGTCTTGGAAGCATTGTTTGTATTATCCCGGGACAACCAAGTAAGCAATGCTGTCGTTAGGAAACGAGTAATAAGCAAGGCTGACAGATCAGTAGATGAAGTAGTGAAACTTTATCAGCTGAGGTGGTTGGGACATGTATTACGAGTGCCCGACCACCGACTACCTCGACGACGAGCTATGCTTTGTGGTGTAGGAATAGGTTGGAAGAAATCTAGGGGTGGCCAAACCAAAACATGGCACAAATACATGAAGTCACTAACAACTAGACTGAGTCATGTTGGTAGATGTAGGCTACCTGGTTGTGGTCTGCGAGACGAAAGTCACCAATGGTTAGAGACCTTGAACGACATAACTCGAAATCGTTTGCAATGGCACAGGTGCATCCACTCTTTGTCTTCTCTCAAATTCTAATCTTCTGGATTCGTCAACACCTCTACCTTTGTCTTTCTAAGCTTATCTCACTTACTGAACTATACTTCTTGAATGATATCTTCGATCCCTAATCTTCTTCATTACCAGTAATACTTCTACTATCTCCACCACTATGGGATGTGAACTGACAGTTGTGTCTCTGTGCTAATGCGGTATGGCAACTTGAACTGATGTACTTACATACGAAGTTTTACATTGTAATTGACTGACTGACTGTTGTGTCAGTTTAATAGTAATATGGTATGTGAGTATTTTGAGTCGATAAGCGAACTTCATTATAATATCAAACCCTAAACATTTAAGTGAAGAAAACGCTATTTCTAGATAATCTATGACCAAACTGAATAAAAAAGGAGCCAATCATGGAACCCTAACGAACACTTGATTTTAATAGTTCGTCATAAGCTTTAACTCAACCGATAGGTTTTGAGTACCGAGTCTTAATAAGGTTTACGTACTTCTTTCACTGAGAAACAGTAGAACACGTCTGCTCAATCAAATCTCAATTCTACATAAACCAGTAAATTAAAATGAACTGAAAATCTGATGAGTGTGTGAATTTCTTAGTGGAGTAAGCAAAACTCTCATTTGGTTAATGGTTTTAGTATAAACGGATATTCAATCAGTATTCTGATACAACATAAGATGTTGTTGAGGCACTCCCACGGTTCCAGGAGTGTTTATATGATATCGAAAAACATCCTATAAACAAATGAAATAGCATGAACTATTATTGAGAATAATTAATGCACACTGACAACAGGTAAATTTGTCAGTCAATCAGTTAGTTACAACGTAGAACTTCGTACGTATGTATAGCAGTTCAAGATGCCATACCACATTAGCACACGTACTCAATGGTCACTTCAAATCCCATAGTAGTAGTGGTAGAAGTGGTAGAAGTATTAGCAGTAATCGGAGAGATTAGAGTTCGAGGATATTATTCAAGAAGTTGAATCTAGTGAGAGAAACTTAAAAAGAAAAAGATAAAGGTGATGAGAAATTCAGAAGGTAAGGATTTGAGAGAACACAAAGAGTGGATGCAATGCAGACGGTTTTGAGCCATGTCATTCAAGATCTTTAACCAACGATTAATATCATCTTGCGTACACCAACCACGTAGTCAACACTTACCTACATAACTCAATCCAGTTGTCAGTGACTGTTGGGATATTCACCAAATATCCTAAGAGTACTATTTTTGGAAGTATAATCCTATTGGTCGATTTCTATTGGTCAAAATTATGGTCGTTTTAACTGTCAAAGTCTCTTATTGGTCATCCGGACTGTCAATGTCATTTCAAATGTTCTTTCCTATTGATCGTCCTAAACTGTCAATGTCACAAACCTTGATGCTCTTTCCTATTCGACCTAAATGTATTAGTACGCATTATCTGTAAGACATCATGTTTCCGATTCCATTCCTTCCTGCCTACCTCTCTTCTGTACTCGACCCAATAAACAACTCAATTCAAAGGTGTTGCATTCTGATATATGGGAGATTTGGGAATAGAATTTGGGTCGTATTGGAATATTTGAATTCGGACGTCAGTAGGATTTGAATAGCAACGTAGCAGCATTATAACAGTGACTTCATGGATTTCTGCCATGCTTTGGCCTGCCCCCCCCTAGCTTCCAACCTACTCCCCTACACCGTAAAACATCGCTCGACGAGGTAGTCGATGATTGGGCATTCGTAATAACACATATCACAACCAACATGTAAATTTGAATTCTGCATATATACAAAGTAGTGCACCAATTTCATATTATCAATAAAAACGATAAAAAGAGAGTGATGTATAATATAATCATATGAAATAGATGAACTATCATGAAACTCATCAAACAACTTACTTCATCTGAAATAAAATCAGACAATTGATCTAATGCTAATGTACACAATACTCGAACTACAATATCTTCTAAATATTGATAATGACTGTTATACATCTACAAAATAAAATAATATGAAAAACGTTTTTCTTTAAAAAAATAAAAACAATTATTTATTTATAGAAAAAAGAAACATTTAGTTCTATTGTTTTCACTGAGACACTCGAGTGAGCAATGCTGTTATTATATTAGGAAACGGGAGCAAACGTAAGAATGGCAAATCAATAGATGAAGCAGTGAAACTTCATCAGTTGAGGTGGTTGGGACATGTGTTGCCTATGCCCAACCACCGACTGCCTCGACGAGCTTTGTTTTGTAGTGTAGGAGTAGGTTGGAAGAAAGCTAGGGGCGGTCAGACCGAAATATGGCAGAAATCCATGAAGTCATTGACTAGTGGACTGAGCCATGTCGGTAATTGTCGACTACCTGGTTGGGGTCCACGAGATGTTAGTAATCGATGGTAAGAGACCTTGAATGACATGGCTCAAAATCGTTTGCAATGGCGCCTGTGCATTTATTCTTTGTGTTCTCTCAAATGCTAATCTTCTGGATTCTTCAACACTTCTAGTTTCGACTTTCTAAACTTTTCTCACTGAATCACACTTCTTGAATAATATCTTCTAATCCTAACCTCTCCGATTACTTCTAATTCCCTTACTACCTCTACTACTCTATTGGATTTGAATTGACAATGACATCTCTGTGCTGATGTGGTATGGCAACCTGAACTGATGTACTTACGTACGAAGTTCTACGTTGCATCTGACTGACTGACTGATTGTTTTCACTGTAAATTAGACATCAAACGCTTGTATATTAGCACATATTTCTGAAAATAAACGAATCGATTCTAACGATAATCTGGCAAATTAACTCCCTACATTAGTTCATAATAGTGAGTGAGAAATCAATTGAGTCTAAGATGATTATGTGGGCATAAGAATCTAGCTTGGTCCATAACACATGGTAAACACAGAAAAACATACTACTCAAATGAGCTAAGCAATAGATTTGATAACCTGCGATTGATATTCCATCCCCCCGAAGTGAAAAATTAAAACAACATAATATATATTTACAAACCTCAATTTCTGATTGGCCAACACATTTTCCAGCTTGTCTTGTATGTCTTGGCTCTGAGAGTAATTCACGTAGACCAGAAGCTGCCCCATGACGTGTCTCCCAACGTAATGCCCATAAATCACCTAAAAGTGTAGTACATATTTTGTCTAATGGCCAATAAGCCAATGGTTGATTTAATACAGCAGGAGCGGTAGTGGCTTGAACATCCTTTGCACATTTATCAATGGTTCCAACATCACTTGATGGATCTAGTTTGATACGTTTTGTATCACATTGAATTGGGGATTGACAGGAATTGTATCTGAAAAAGATTGGATGTGGAAGTAAGAAGTGTATATCGAATATAAAAAGCGGACTTTCGTAGGTCAGAATATCTTTAAGTGTGAACGTTTGGACGTTCCGCATATACATACAGAGGATGAACCAATTCTTTGGAGAAATAATTTTACACTTTTATCAGTTTCTAAATAAGCAAATACTTTTCAGTGAGGTATCGATAATAATCGCTAAGCTTACGCCTGTTACCCCTAATGGAGCATAGGCCGCCCACCAGTTTTCTCCAACCAACTCTGTCCTTGACCTTCCCTATCCTGTTCTTTCCAGTTTTTGTTCATTCTTCTCATGTCTTTCTCTATTTCTCGGTGTTATGTGTTTCTTGGACTTCCTCTTTTCCTTTGATCTTGAGGGTTCCAAGTGAGGACTTGTCTCGTGACGCAGTCAGGTGCTTTTCGTAGTGTGTCCAATCCACTTTCACCGCTTCTTCCTGATTTCCTCCCCCACTGCAATCTGGTTTGTTCTCTCCTACAGTACGTTGTTGCTGATCGTGTCTGGCCAACGAATACGAAGTATTTTGCGTAGACAACTGTTCATAAACACTTGTATCTTCTGGATGATGGCTTTCGTAGTTCTCCAAGTTTCCGCTCCATACAGTAGGACTGTCTTGACATTTGTATTGAAAATCCTTATTTTGGTTTTGGTTGAAAGTTGTTTGGAGTTCCAGATATTTTTCAATTGTAGAAATGCAGCCCTTGATTTGCATGGATCCACGCCCTCACATCTGCATCGGATCCACCTTCTTCGTCGATGATGCTGCCCAGATATGTAAAAGTGTTAACGTCCTCCAAGGCATCTCCATCAAGAGTGATTTGGTTGGTGCATGTTGTGTTGCTAAGCTACTTGTTGATAACAGAAACAAATTCAGGGCCTGTCAACGAGTTCCTACTGTAGTGAACGATGGCGGTAAGTCATCCGCTGCTCTACTACATACTACTCATAAACCCCGTCGTAAGTAGTACAAACTACCTAATGACACGAATTGTGGTGGTAGTAAGATACCATTATCTCCAGGGATAGCAGTTCCTACAACGATAGGAGTCAGGAAATATCGACTATAAACTAATTTTAACTATCCTATATGAAGTATATTTATGATCCAATAATTTAATTTAAATCTATTAAAATTCTTACGTTTGCATTTGAAACAAATGCCTTGCATTGCTTGTTTCATTGACAGAGAAACACGTTATACAGACAGACAGATACAATACAGACCTTCGTACGTATGTACATCAGTTCCGATTGCCATACCGCATTAGAACAGAGCCTCAACAGTCAGTTCAAATCCAGTAGTGGTAGAGATAGTAAAAATATTACGGGTAATGGAGAAGATTACGGTAGAATTCAGTGAGATTAAGCTAGAAAGAGAAATATAGAGATAATGAGGAATTAAGAAGGTTAGAATTTGAGAGAACACAAAGAATGGATGCCCCTGAGCCATTGCAAACGATTTTGAGACATGTCATTCAAGGTTTCTAACCACTGATGACTTTCGTGCAGCGGACCCCAACCATGTAGCTTATATCTACCAGCATGACTCAGTCCACTTGTCAGTGACTTCAAAGATTCGTACCATGTTTTGGTTTGGCCGACCCTAGCATTCTTCCAACCTAGTCCTACACTGCAAAACCTAGCTCGTCGGGGCAGTTGGTGGTTAGGAATTCGTAACACATGTCCCATTACTTTCATTACTTCATCTATTGATCTTCCATCCTTACCTAGAACTCGTTTACTAACAACAGCATTGCTTACTCGGTTGTTTCAGGATATACGAGCAATGCTTCGGAGACACCTATGATCGAACACAAACAATCTACTCTACTGTGTGTTTGTAAACCCGGTCCATGGCAGTGAGGTTCAGTGACTTTTTATCATCGCTATTTCCTAACGATTACTGGCATTCGGGTGTAACACCATATAAGTAATACTGTAATTCAACAGTGTGTTCCAACATATAGATGATCTAGTTGGAGTCACCACCTTGAACACTGGCTTTAACACGATGTGTTGAGAAAGTCATTTTAACGGCTTTCATATCGTTCTTTTATTCGCTGTTCCTGGGAACAGTTGAGAAAAGTGGATGTTGTTAGTGGGACATAGATGGATTTAAAGCGTGATTACGTCACTACGCGCTGATTAGCTAATTTCCTATCCAATCAGCGCCTGATCGAAGCTTGGAGAACAGGATAGAAAATTCTCGTATTATTAGCTGCATGCTGATTGGTCAAATCCAGCCCAGTCGATCACGTGAATTTTCTTCCAGAAGTTTTCTCATGTAAAGGCTATAAATAGACTAGCATTGTATTTATCTTTGCCTTCTAGCCTTCAAGCCTTCTTCGCTTTCAAGCCTTTTTGCCTTGGCTTTCGCCATCACCTCCAGCTTCTTTTCCTTGCTATTTTGGAATACAATCCTTCCTGTTCAACCGTGTTCTGATTTGTGTTACTTGTCCAGTGTCTTGTGTCAAGAATACTAAGCAATAAGATTTAGCCGGGAAATATCGTAAGCAACCGTTACAACAGAAGTGGTCAGTACACTACATAGCATTGTGGTATGAAACTAGTTTCTGTCAGCCTATCACGAAACCCTAGTTGCCACTCAAGCGATGGCCAATAAAAATAAAGTCTGATTTTAATTTTATGAATTAACCCATGACCTAACTAAGTCTTACTGTGTAGTAAGGAAATGGTTTGAGTAAAATTTCAATTATATTTTTAAGCTAATATGTTAATTCGCTGAAAAATGTCTACTGCTTAGTTGTCTGACGTTTGTTTTTTTTAAAAGCTTGTTATCCACGAAAAATGTTGTAACGCTTGCTTAGATAATTCCCAGCTAAATCCTATTGCTTAGTATTCACTGACCACAATCCACTGGACAAGTTCCCAAGAATCAAAAACACGGTTGAACAGGAAAAGATTATATTCCAAATAGCAAGGTTAAATGGAAATATGAAGCCAAAGGTGATGGCAAAGGCGAAGGCAAAATAGATACAACGTTAGTCTATTTATAGCATTTACATGAGAAGCTTCTGGATAGAAATTCACGTGATCGACTGGATTAGATTTAACCAATCAGCACGCAGCTAACAATACGAGAATCTTCTACCCTGTTCTCCAAAAATCGATCAGGCGCTGATTGGATAGGAAATTAGCAAATGAGCGCGCAGTAATGTAGTCATGCTTTAATTCCATCTATGTCCCACTAACAAGTTAACAATTTGCATTAGCATGTACTTATTCAGCTATTAGGGAGGAGCAACAGAATTCGACCAACATGATCTCCGGTGTTGTTGTTAGCCGTATGATTTCTGGTTATCCGCACTATGGTAGAATACTTCTCCATAAGGTGCTTAAGTAGGAAATTTAATTAATGGTCTTACTGACATGATTAATGACCACCACAACCGTTTTAAAAACAATGAATACTTCTTATATTCATTCACAAGTTTACACTGTACATTTATGACTTGCTATATATAAATCACGAATACCTCTTAACAAATAATAATAGGATGCTTCATATGATATTGATTGGGATTTTTTTTGTCTCACGTACTGTTACGGGTATGAGGGCGGTTATCACTTCCCGGCTGCTCACACCGTGGAAGGTTGTTTCTTGAGGGACCTGAAAAGGAAGATAGATTAGTGTTGGTCTCGGAGACCTTGGAACGTGACGGCAGAGTCAAAGGGACAACTGCTTGAGGCCGGTCACGCACGGTCTTTCTATGAAAGGTTTTTTGAGTGTTAGCTCCGCTTTTGAAATCCCTTAGTGGACACCCTTACCAACGGAGACGAAAATCCGTGAGGTAAGGTGAGGTGTGACATTTGTAGGGTTGACTTTTTCTAACCCTTCCTTCCTTGTGAGAAGGCAACATCGCTGCAGATGCTGGTTGTCCGAGGGAAACACCTTACTGCTGTCACATTCCTCTGCAGTTAGTCGGCAGTACGACTTCGCCCTCAGATCTTGGGTAGCTGCTTTTAGTCTGATCGTTCTCCAACCGACCAGCCTGGCATGGTAGAACCTTCAAAAACATGCGTTCTAGCCAATGTAGCTCGGTTGGGTGGGTCATCACGATAGGCAAGCCCGACCACCATGTCAAGGTAGCAGCTTCGGTCGGGATTGATTGGGAACTAAAATAACTCGAACAGTCCCTACTCCAAAACACATAAATTCACTTTATAAAAGTATCAATGAATTGGTCATTTATAGTTAAGCACCAATAAGCAATTTACAACGACAGATAGTAGAGCAATAAAAAAAATAACCATGAATACCTTTTCTTATCTTTGTCCGTATTACCGAAGTAAGCACTTCGTACACAAGTCTGTAGATAATGAAATGAAAAAAAAAGTGCATTTATGGGAATTTATGAGTATTGAATGGGGGGCCAATAGAATTAATTTTAAAAAAAAAGTAAAAGAAAATATCGTGAGTAGATAACTAGATAACATGTGAGCTGGTCAATAGTTTCAGATGATCCCTGATGAAAATTTCAGAATAATGAACTAGGTTTTGTATCAAAAATAAAACTGAAACTAACGTTTACAGGACTATATAACATTCTGTGTTTAGATAACTTTATTTCAATGTGAAATTTCTCTACAAGAGGAGGTTTGCCGACCCCTACTCGTAAAACAGCCCAGCTATAAAAGCAATAAACCAGAAGAAACCATTTAAAATTTGCTTTGAGATGAAAAGCGTTTTGTATGGAACAGTTATAAGGGAGGCCCCAAAATGCAAGATGGAAAGTCTCCGGAAGCCACATTAGCTGACATCCGAGATAAAAAAATACTGGATAGGGGGAGGACAAAGAACACTAGAGAATTTTTAGAAGCTTGGCACTCAGGTCAATCAGCAATCAAAAAACACACATCGATATTGACCCAATTTATCAACCAATCAGAAAAATCATAAGTGATATAGGATCAAGAAACAACTCAAAAAAGAGATACAAACAAAACCAAAATGCAAACAACGACAGGTTTAAGGTCAACAACAACCAATCAAGATCGAGGTTAGCAGAACAAGCTACAGGTGAAACGTGTGGAAATTCGAATACTTCACTTCTATCTGAAGTTTATGCTGATGGTATTGTTCAGAATAACAATGAAAGCTTCACAACCAAAACAACCAGCTCAGAGAACGAAACACCACCATAATCATCCACCTGAGCTACAAATTTTCTCCACCATCTCAAAAATTAACTCCGCCTCGGGCCGCTCTGGGGCTACTACCGGTCCTAAGCTCGGATAAAGGACGAAGGTTTGGCGTGGGGTTGGTGAACCCATCCCACAAAAACATTAAGTCGCTTAAAAAATTCTGGACGGGTAAGAAAAACATAAAAACTAACAGAGGTACATGAAATGACTAAACAGTATGAGGCCAGGAGAGTTATTCAAGTAACATCATAAATAAGAAACTATAACTTAGCCCTGATAGGAATACGTGTGACATATTGGACTAAATCTAGATAGAAAAAACTAACCTCAACAGAGCTATATTGTTGTGTTATGTTCATGAAGGAAAAATCCCTTCCTTACGACAACTCCAAGGACAAGGGCAGTATTCCTAAAACAGTCAGTCATTATGAATCCCTGATATTCAATTTTAGGACCCGTAACAGCACAACATACCTAAAACTGAATATCAGGAACTCATAATGACTATCAGCCAATATCGAAGCCAGAATTTCCAATACTAACGTCATAACTAAGCAAACCAGCTTTCAGCTGAAGAGCAAATCAGGGAAAAAACTCGGAAGGTGGATAGGACACATTGTGGAAGTCACCAAACTGTATCACAAAGTAAGTCCTAACCAGAGAATTGCAACGCAAAAGGAAAGGAAGAAGACCAAGGAATACATTGCACCGATTGTAGGAGGCAGATATCGAAACCGAGATTGGCACTTTGAAAGAGTTCGAAAGAGTTATGAATAAATAACTAGCGCATTTTGCCAACTTAACAATAAAGCAAACATACACACATCATGTCACATGATCAGATGATAGTAACATACCTCCACATCGATTTGAGTGAATCCAGATTGTGTTTCATCAGTCAAATCGTCTGTTGTAATCCATTTATTGATTGAGACATTAGCATGACTCTCCAAAACTTCAGTCAATAGATTACCATTTTCCAAGCCTAAACGACTATTGATTTCTTGGCGTTGTACTTGATAACACATGAAAATAAGAATAAGATTGTGCGAATGATATACTGTTGTTAAAACAATCGAAATAACTACAGTTATAAATACATTTAAAAATCTGGGCCAGTACTATCGTGATATTAGTTTGACCTTTACAAAAAAAAGTCAACAACGCCCTAGGGAAGGCAGTTTTACTGTATGTTAGTAAAACAGTGTTTTCTTCATATACGTCAGAGGAATTTAACAACCTGAGAGGAATAATAATATTTCATTTTTAACTGAACTATATTTTCTGACGTGAACTACTTTTGTTCACTTTGTTCCCGCATGCTCTAATATGGTCGAGAGTGGGTAGAGTTAACTCTCCCTCTCTCGAAATCCTCTCATATAGCTAGTCAAACAAGTCCTATTCATCGCCTTCTCACCGCAGAGGAGGTAAGCACAAAACTGAAGACGATGACCAGATGTTCTGAACTCAAATCGAGTTGGTGGATAAGGAGAATTTAGGGGCATCGCAAAATGCTGATTCGAAACGAATGGTGAATAATGAGGGGAGAAATGGTAAATAAACCTATTCTCCCTCATAGACTATCATGGGACCCCATCTCTATTGCCCTGTGGATTCAACCTGTAGGTCGAAAGATCAGAATAGAAAATCACGTGCACCCGTCTCGGCACCTGGGCAGTAAGTATCCCAGTCCACACAACAAATTCAGTGATTTGTCTGGTGCATGTGTATTAAAGTACCCCTTCGTACAAATCTTTGCAGTTAAATAAGTATATTTATCCACATATTTTTTTAATTAAACTCCCCTTACCTTTTCCATTTCTTCATGTGGTGGATGTATTTATTATCCGTGCCCATCTGTACAAGAATGTATTAAACCATAAAACATAGCTATCACTATCTATATCAGCTAGTAGTAATTTGTGTTTTAATAGGCCACGATGTTTATAGTAGAATTCTTCGCATGTACAGATCCCTTAGACTACTACAAGTGAGTAATTTTAATCATTCGATATCTTCACCATCATTAACTCTTAATAGATTCGTTCTTAAGATTGATCCTTAAGTCATGATTATCCAGGAATACGGTTACTTTTGAACTAGTATCCTTTCATGACGATTCTGATGCAAATATTAACCCTCACCTAAACTTGAGAAAAAGAAAGTCATTGACGTAATGATATCAGCTGATTAAAACTTCTGACAGATCTATAACTCAAACGAAAATCTTATCTCCCTAGGAAGCATATAATTAAACCGCAATAACCTAATATGGAATTGATTTATAAATAAATATATCTTCAATTCTTCGTTTAACTAGACTATTGTCAACTGATCTTTTAATATGAACACTTCATAAACCAATAATAATAAACTGATCTTAAATCTACTCAATAACCATACAAAAGAACTAAAGAGTTGTGTTTAAATACCTGGTAGTAAGAGTTGAGAAGAGTGAACATCTGTTTGCGCATCACATTCCATTGTATTTTCATTATTCTTTTTATATCGTTCAAAATGACTTGATTTGTTATCTTTGTCTAATTCACGTGCATCCATACTATAAAGTCGAGCTCCTTGAGCTAGGACACTGTCAATTCGAAGTTCACTTAAACTGAGGAAGCCATTATCTGAGGCATATTTTTGATCTACATCGCTTTGACACTGTAAAGTTGGTTCCCAATTAGGTAAGTTACGAACAATATGACGAATAGCTTCTGATGCAGCAACACGAGAAACCCAATTTTTATGACGTAACAGAGGGATAAGCTTTATGTTTAGTGGGGGATATGAACAGGAAAATTAGTAAGTAGATGTATATTAAGACTGAAAATATAAAATGTCAAATATAACGCTTGCCAGGTCTAGTGACACTTTTCTAGTATTATGAAGATTTTTACAAAATTCCAAATTGCAGATGGATGAATAGTGTTGAAAATAAAAGGAAATGTGATCATAGGTCACGATAGGGAAGACATTGAATGGTGATATAGAATCGCATATATTATGAAGTCAAATAAATCTATAATCCACAGAACTCATTAGTTTTTTAGTGACTAACATTTTGGAAAAGTATTTAATATGTGACATTCTAAAGATCAGAAAAGTAACTCTAGTAAGATGAATAAGCTCAGTGTTAACACTAAATATCATGCTTAAGAACAGGATTCTGATGCATACTAAAATCAATCAGATAGAGTTAGGCAAAACTTAGTTTTTAATAGATATTAACGACTGTCATTGATTAATCAAAAGTAAACTAACTCATACCAACTAATCAGGGATTAATAACACCGTCACAGATGAAGATACTACTCTGTTTTAGATAATGGAGGGAGAGTTTCGAACCCAGCACTTAGTAGCCAAGTCCAATCACTTAACCACAAAGCTACTAAGTAAATAATAAACTATAATTTTCCCCTAATAATTCATAATGCTTGGTAGTCAGAAGTTCCAACACGTAAGGAACAGGAGTTGATAAAATAAACGATAACTTTCTGAAACTGAACTTTCCCCTTCCTTTATAACAATGAACAATGAAGAATAATACACATCATACGGAATTTCTGTCATAACTCCCAAAAATAATGATTAAATACCTACTTCATACATATAAATAACGATTTGGCAATTAGAAAAGTACTTTGATAACAAACCGTTTCCTTACACAGGTGAACACATAGTCAATGTTTGATGGACTACTCTTTGCGACCTCTCCAAGTTGTTCCGCAGCTGCAGTCCGTAAAGATGCATTAGGACAATTTCCCAACAGCACAAAAAGACGATCAAGGCTAGAAAAAAAAGCACATTTACTATATTGCAATAGATGCTTTTTGAGAAAAATACTGTGTGCAGTGAGATAGGTTTTGAATGTCCCATTCAGAAAAATCTCATTAGGGCTATTCACGTAGAAACTGAAATGAAATTCGAAATCCCAGGCTATTCAGACTACAAGACTTTCTTTCTATTCGATTCAGTCACTTTGTAAATTCATTGATAAATGGTCACGATGAGTTTCGGAATTCTGAAACACCGAAATTTTAGTTTAACTAGTCACTTACTAATATTTGCAATATGAAAGTAAGTGCATCTAAGCAGTTGTGAGTAATAACAAACTTGAATTTTTGTAGTACTTCGAACAGAAACTGCAAAGGTTTATTATAGAAGCCACTAGCTAGTGTTTGGTTCTCAGCATCCAAAAGAGCTGGATTTTCAGGCAGTATGCTAAAACTCGAACGAGCACATGTTTATGTTGATCCTATGACGGCCACTGGCGAACTTAAAATTTTCCAAGCTCTTTGGAAAGACAGCTTTGCACTGGTGACGAGATATAGGTTTTCACAGTTCCAGATATTATCGCAAACCTGAGAAAAATTTCAGGATGACAATGCAAGCGAAAAAGAAAACTACGTCCATGGTAGAAATCAGTATTTTAAAGAACTGGAAAATCATAACTCATGTGTAGGAGCATGTCTTTCCATATTGCATAATAGAGCACCTGCATTTTAATTATGAAACGCACTGCAAAGGATTCACAACTACGCTGAGCCGAAAATTCGAACATTTTGCAAGGTTCCTATTGTTATTTATCTGACCGATAGGTTTTGATATACCCCGCTTACAACTTGGATAGTTATATAAATGACCATTATACACCAAGATCACCATTTGTAATACCGTCCCTTAATGTATTAACAACAAACCCATCCTAGGATGTATCACCTACTTTGGGTAAGTTCCATTACAAATCTTTGGGAAAATGCAACCTGGATTATTAACAGAGATGTGAACAGGGCTATGCTTGTAGATGTCCTATCTGCATTTTCTGTGAAAATGTAACGAAGAACCTATTTTAGAGGACATCACATATTATACATAAATAATAATAAATAAAAGTAGTTAGGGCAGAAGAATGAGTTGAAAGTAATACCGGCTGGTCATTATACTCCCGAATATCTCTCGTAGTATATATCCACAGGCAAAATATGCAGGCACTAAACGGGACAACGGAGCACTGACCATCCGCCATTGCACTGAATATATTTATACTGAGCACCATTTCGATATGTTGCGCATTTTATTCGGATATCAAGTATACGATTGGTCCATTTATTCGAACGTCCTTCAATTAAATACTTCAATGCATTTAAAATGTTAAAAAAGAATTAACAAGACAAAAACTTTTTGCCAATTAACGGGTGAACTACTCCTGAAAAAGAAATTTAAAAACACTTTTTAAACACGGATCCCGTCATAATATGCTTGGTAATTAAATAATCCCCTATTATCCCAAACATGTAACGTTAAATATTCTTTGGTGGAGCTATGCAAACCAACTGGTTTCTTTGTGTTCCTTCGTCGTCTGTTAGGTACGGTTCCTCGAGTTGGTAATACTATAGTTTGCTTCATTTCCTATTGATTTCTTTCATTTATTCCGGCCGCCATAAGTGATGACTCTACCTCAGGGAAGAATTTGAGCTTCGAATCATGAGTGGTATTGTGATTTGATCATTTTTAGGGATTTTGTTTAACTGCTGTCGTAAGATGTTGTTTCGCAAGTTGGCCACAAAGTTGTTCTCATATTCTCCTCCGGGTAGCTCTAAATTCTTGGTTCGTTTGTTTCAGGATGTTTCTTCCTTCTTCACTGTGTCTTCTGCTTGACATCTCGATCGCCGTTTTCAGTATTATATAGTTATCCGCAATCACTAGTTTCCTTTTTTGTTCACCCCCGTTGGGTAGGTATTTGTATATCCTAAAGTGTGCACCCGTGATCATTAGTTGTACCATTTGTGTCCGATTTGCCCCGTTATTTGTCTTCCTGTCAGGCAGTCAGGTGGTCTTCTGTATCCGCTATTGTTGGCAGGACATGCTTACGAATAAATTTGTGTAGACAGTATAGTTTTTCTGGAAGAGAAGCCCGCCTTTTAACAAAATCTAACAAACGAAGAGAAACGTGTCATGCTCGTGTTACGTTGAAATGCTGGCGAAAATTTCAAGCTCAGGTGGATGATAGATTCGGTGAGTCGTTCTCTTCTTCGGAACAGCATCGTAAACAAAAATTTCGCATAGAAGTGAAGTGTTCGAATCTGTAAGCGTACGACCTGTATATTGCTTTAATAACATAGATCTTGAATGGTTCTTACTAAAATGAACAGCAGTTGTTAGGTGATTAGATGTAGCGAGAAGCCGAGTATAATGGTCAAGGGAACTCAATAAAAACAGATTTGGAAACACCAAACATTTGACAAATGAAACACAAAAATACCGAAGTATTTTGATGAAACATGAATAGTGAGCGTAGAATGGATAAAACTTTACATCAGACCATCAAGATTGCTCTATGCAGACTAATTAAGTATCTCAAAAACCAGCTACAACGTCTGCTACACATATGCAAAACCACGATCTACCTTTCCATCCACCCATATCCTTACTGGCGTGTTATACACCAGTTGCACAGTTTAGCTATTCTATACTGTGTGTGAAACGCTGTCGAAATTGCCCATATACAATGAGTATGTAGGTGCATAGCGAATACACTCTCAATACTGGGCAAATGTTCAAGTATATCATGAAAGATGGAGAGTATTACTCAGTGTTATGATGGATTTACGATGGATCAGTGAAACAAAGAAAAGTATGGCGCGTTACCGGGAGTAACTACATATCGTCTAAGGAAGTTAAATAACTATCTCAATGAATTCTTATCTGGGTTAGGATCTCTGAGAAAGGCTTAGTACTTGTTAGATGCAACAAAAAGCTCATAAATAACAAGTATACAAATCGAGCAGCTGAGAACGAAGACATGATTACTGTTCAAATGTGCTCGGCTGGACGAGTGACTTAACCGGTATGTGTTAAGGTTGGCAGACTCATGACTGTTATGACAAGTGGAGCCGAGCTGATTCTAGTCATTCAACCGGAACGAGAATTAGGAGTAAATTTTGATTCACTGTTCTTCAGACTAAACCACAATGAATAAACCGTCGGATGTAGTGAGGTCAGTAGAGATACCATACCTGCAATGGTATAGTTTCACTTATGCTATTGCTGTATAAATTTTAAATAATCTAACGCAATACGGATGGTTCTAATTTATCTAGAACTTCGACAAGACAAAAAGAAGAATTCGAAATCGAAGCATGCAGCGTCAACTTATTATGTATCTTTTTATCAGACTTAAACAAAGTGCAAAATATGTAATTGGACAATAAATGTATTAGCTGTTCACTACTTGCTGTTTTCCTTCTAAGAGGATAGCATTGAACAATCATCTTAGCGATAATGTTCAGTCAATCAGTCAGATACAACGAAGAACTTCATTAGTACGTACATCAGTTCGGTTTGGCATATCCCATTACCGCTTAGAGATCGAATCGTCAATTCGAATCCCACAGAAGTACAGGTAGTAGAAGTATTAGCAATAATCGGAAAGATAAGGATTGAAGATAACATTCAAGAAGTATAATCAACCGAAAGAAATCTGAGAGGTGAAGGATAAGGATGATGGGGAATTCAGATCTTGGTTAAAATGCATACATGAAAAAAGTCATACATTTTGTCAGACATGGTGCTAAAACGACGAATACACCACTGTTAACAGACTTCTTATCCAATACTGTGGAATTCAATTATGGAAGTATGAAACCGTTGAAAACAGAATTTCCCGATTTGGAATCACCATTATCTGATCATTTATTGGAGCAGAGTCGTGAAATCTTAAGTAATACTTGTAGAATTCTTTTTGAATGCTTTGTGTTTTGGAAAATCCCTCCATGTTTACATATTTTTGCTATGACCTGATGGACTTTTTCTCTTGACATTTTTGGTATTTTATTTGATTCCAATTTGAGATTTTACCATTGTATGTTGTTATTCTTTCCATATTTTGTACTTATATTGAAGTTTTTGTGTTTGCTTCTGAATTGTACATATATTGTTTAAATTTGATATAATATGGCTACCGCCACATTTTTGGATAGACGCGGTGGCTGCTGGACTTAGTGTCACTTACTAGCTATTGTAATAGATACTCTACGGAGTAATTTAGTCCTGGAAGAAACAAAAACATCGTAAGCCTCTGTATTTCCATTTTATAACAATATAGAGACGGTTTTCTCCTAGAATATTTTGCCTTCTGAATTGGCTGGGACCTGGATCTAGGAGTATCGTACCGGTGTGTTTCTATTGGACGCGATTAGGACAGCCGCCGGCGAAATAGATTCTACAGTCTGATGTTTATCCTTCTGGCGTGAATTATACTTGGAAATATTTACCAGAACGCATATAATTTGGATCTATTTGGATTATTAAGAATTACAAGGAAACATTTGGAATTTTAATCGTTTATCTTAATTCTGAACTGAATTTTGGAACTATTCTATTTTGTATCTGTTACCTTTCGTATTGAATCCCATTTATAATGTCAAGCAGGAAGAAGGCAAACAGGAGGACGGTGGAAGAGCTCGACGGATCACAGGGCTCTAGGCAAGTCGTTGATGATAACCTTTTTATGGGTAACCCACATGTTATGTCTGATATTTATTATTGTAAGTCATCGATAGAGGGTTTAGAATTACCTAAGGTTGAACTCTCATATTTTGATGGAAGGTCTCGCGACTATTTTAAGTTCATACGACAGATAGAGACGTTTATAGAACCTCGAATCAAGGATGATCAAGTGCGTTTATTGTATTTAATTCATTATTGTAAGGGAAAAGCTAAAAATGCGATCGAAGGCTGTCTTATAATGGACCCACAGGCAGGATATAAGAGAGCTAAGGTTATTTTAAAACAGCTTTTTGGGCAGTCACATGTGATAGCGCGAGAAACCTTAGAGGACTTATTTAGAACTGGGAATGTCGAATTTAATGATCCTGAATCATTGACGAACTTGGCCATTAAAATGCAGAATGCTTCTTTAACTTTAGAACAATTAAATTGTACAGCTGAACTTAACTCTATGACTACTTTAGAACGAATAGTAAGGCTCTTACCTCGTCGAATGCAAGCCCAGTGGGCAGAGCTAGTATTCAAGTGGGACGAAGAGGAGAGAGAGCCTAGTTTCAATGAATTGACGGAATTTATTATGTCTCGTGCTAAGATAGCTAGTAGTAGGTTTGGAAGATTAGCTTATCAGGCTAAAACAGGAAATAATACGGAAGCTACTAGTGGTCTGCGTGCGAGACATTCGGATTCTTCGTTTCTACCTAAAGCACGCTCGGAAGATAAGCGATTTGTCAATTATATCACGAAAGCATACCCTGATGAAGGACGAGTACGTGACCGTAACGATGTAAATTCTCTGGATGCGTGTCCTAGTAAGAAGCTGGTTGGTGTAACAGATAAGATGGCTTTTCTAAGTATGGAAAAGAAAGACCAAGGTGAAAAGCTTAGGCATCAAGATGGATCCGAAGCGTGTGATGATAAAAGCCTCTTTGCTGCTCGAAAAGCCTGGAACGGTAGTTTGGATTCGAGTAATCAGAGGTTAATGAGTTCAGCAAGTATGAATAAAGCCCAGGCAGGATTGACTGAACGGAATAAAGCTTATTTTCGGAACCCTTCAGTTAGGGTAAATTATATAACTGGACCTAGAGTAGATTCTAGGATAAGTGATCGTGGAACAGTAACGGCTAAGAAGCCTAGGAGACATGATGCTACTATTACTAAGAAGCCTGAACCTCATGCTCTTTCGGATGCTACGACTAGCTATGGAAATAGTAGCCATCAGAACCTCAGTAGTGACAGTGATAATAAGAATATAGAAAGTGTCAGCAGTCCACCTATAGGGACTAGTTTGTCCACTTCATCGAATGAGCCTCCTAGTGTTTCGACGCCATTGGACCTCGTCACGAAGGTTAAGTTGATTGAAGATGCACAAGGTTGTGCAGCTTTAACTGTTCCTATTACGGTTGACTGTCAGTCGAGTGATGATGAGAAGA